TGGATTCATGGTAGCCCATGCTTTAAAGGAATGCAAAAAATGTACTCATAAGTACACCTCCCATATTACGAAGAGCTTTATCTATATAAAATATAATAATAATAATAATAATAATAATAATAATAATAATAATAATTCTGTTTGTTCCTTAGTTAACACGCAAAACGGAAAAAACATATTAGAGACGTTGTTTTCGTTGAGAAAAAGAAAGTAAGAAAGAAAGAGATGGGGGGAGAGAAAATGAAGGAGGTGGTAACGTACTGATGTTTTTAACGTCTGCTTTAGTGAAATGAAAAACTTCAAATTGTTTCATTTGTACCCTCTTACTTCTTAAAATAATGACCTGCATTCATACTTATGATTTTTAGCGCAGTATTTTGCTAAAGTTGTTAAGCTCAAATATTTAAGGAAGCGGCAAAGATATTTTCATGGGTATTCCATAGACGCAGACCTCGCCATGATTTGATTAAGAATTGTGATTCATCAGAAAATGAAAATAGGAAAACCGTTAAAGTACTACTACTACTGTTATTACTACTACTAATAATGGGACACCATTCATAGCGTCATTGTGACAACGTTCTCCGGTCATTTGTCGTTCACTGCACCTATGATGACATCCAAGGTTGAGTGTATTTGCATATACACGCAACTCGCTATGTGCACAGGTTTGTCTTCTCGGCCGTGATCGCTTTCAACAAAATAATTCTAGTGACGGCAAATGTTTTTAAAGACACTTGTTGGGAGTTCATAACAATATGATTTCTCACTTAGTTGGCTACCTTTTCCTTCGGCTAAACTGCGTTCCCCCTAAATCAACCATCCGTCCTTGCATCGAATATTGCTGCCTTATATGGTCTGGCGCTCCCGCTGTACGTCTCGAGGTCCTTGACAAAATCCAGAGATGAATATGCAAGATGATAGGTCCTGATCTGACATCTAGTCTACAATCGCTATCCCACAGGCGTGCTGTGGCCTCCCTCTGTCTCTTCTACAAATATTTTCACGGCAACAGTTCCGACGAGCTACTTTCGCTGGTTCCCGGACTACATGAATTTAAGCGAGCTACCAGGCTGGCATCTAGATCCCACCCTTTCACTGTCAAAACGGTTTAATATAACCATCTCTTCTACTCAAACAGCTTCTTCTCCCGCACTTCCAGTCTGTAGAACTCCCTTCTCCTTGTTTGCTTCCTCGATGACTATAAACTTCAAATATTCAACTTTTTTGTCTTGATCTTGTTCCTTGGCCTTGTCTGTATCCTTTCCTCAAACACGCCTCTTTACCCTTGTTCTCAATCCTCTGTAACCCATTGCGTGCCAGTGACACTCCCGCCTTGCTTGGGTTGAATAGCTTTTAAAAAAATCACTGGCCTCTGGGCTCGACGACTCCTGATTCCTCACTACCGGTCCTTCTGACACTGACCACTGGGCAGCTGTAACTCCTCTGGTCACTTCCCTACTTATTTCATGGTTGGACCCAATTTTCTTTCAACTTCCTGCCTCTCTCTGCTTATATGGATAATCCTGGGGTCTCACACCCTCCATCCACTTGTCTTTCCGGAATATTCGGGACCACCCCAAAGCCACATGGGTGGTCAAATCTTCAAAGGACTACTTTTATGACTATCTAAAATCATTTATAAAAAAAAATATGTTTGCCAATTCAATGGCGATCTGGAGACATGGATCCTGAAACGCTAACACTTAAGTTCATTCAAAGATGGACTGAAGACAGAATTCCTATGAAACTCCAATAGCTGAGTGGACTTAAAAGGAAGGAATTTATCTCCTTATCTTCTAAAGATGTGTGAGAAATCATATTGTTACAACAATAATGTACAAATGGTGAATATTCACGTAGATGAAGCTCGTCTGACCGATAAGGCAGTCCATTAAGGGGTAGAAAATCTCTGATTTTAAACCTCCGTTGCCTTGCTGGTCATAGCCAAATATAGAAAAGGCAACGGAAGTTAATCTAGACAGAAAATCCCGAAATGGGGGTAGCAACACGTTTGGCTGTCAACTAGGACAAACTTCCGGCAACCCCTGCAGCAAGTTGTCCGCAAGTGTAATGCCTAGTATTATTTTGGATCTTGATGTTCCACTTGAAAAAATGTGGTCAGCTCACAGCCACCCCCATATACCATCGCTCAGGCCTGCACCTTGGAAGCGGTCAGTCCAGTCTTGCCACTAAAGGACAGAATTTGCACCAAACAGGGCGCTGCCTTTATCTCGCGAGATAAAACATATGCCTACGAATGTGCAGACGTGAGGTTTGAAGCCGTAAGAGTTGGCGTACAAAGAAGCTCGGTAAAAACAATAAAATCGAAACTGGAGAAATTCATTATTCGAGGAAGAATTAAGATTAGGGCGCAGTTGCGGTCTGCGAGGATTTCAGATAAAGGCTTGGGGATTTTAGGAGAATTGTAGTCCGTATGTTTTCCAGCAGTAATCACTCGACACTTGGCATGAACGCGTAGCTTATGTGAAATAATAAATAAGGTAGAAGAACAGAACGAGGAGAGAAAACACTACCTGCCTTTATATACTCTTTACATGTGTAGGTATTTGCAGACGACAGCTCGGGCACGCATTGGCGCACGTGTTTCTGAGTGGTGACACATGAATATTACATTATTGTTTTGCCCACCCACTTGAGAGGCAAATACGTGTGACAGTGGACAACATTTCTTATACATACATGCATGCATATATATATATATATATATATATATATATATATATATATATATATGTATGTATACATTCGCACGGGCGTGTGTGTAATTAAGCAGATAGATATGAACTGCCTGAAATAGATATATAGATAGATAATGAACATACTGAGGGAGACAGAAAGAGAGAGAGAGAGAGAGAGGGAGAGAGAAGGAGAGGTAGACAGACAGACATACAGAGACAAATAGACAGACGGATATATATATATATATATATATATATATATATATATATATATATATATATATATATATATATACATTCATTCAGTGCTGGTACCAATAAAATAGTGCTCGATGTATATTAACAGAGCTTTAATTTATATTAACAAATATACATTTTACTTCACCGACAGCACAGCTCTCAAGTAATTTTTCAGATAGAGTATAAACATGTAAAAAGAACAATATGAATAAGATAGGATTTTTCCTTTTGTTTTATTCATATATATATATATATATTATATATATATATATATATATATATATATATATATATATATAGATAGATATGATCATGCTGAGATAAATATATAAAGTACACACACACACACACACACACACACACACACACACACACATATATATATATATATATATATATATATATATAGGCAGACAGATAGCTAGAAAGCTAAATAATGAACAGAGTTGTACACTTTTATGTGTATATAGTTTCTGTATATATATAAACGGATTGAGACAGATTTGAAGATAAATAAAAAAAGTATTAAATGATTTAAAAGATTATTTAAAATAGTTAAATCATAATAAAAGATTATATATATATATATATATATATATATATATATATATATATATATATATATATATATATAAACAAAAAAACTTTTT